AGCAACAAAATTTCCTCTTTGGAATCAATAAGAACTTCCGCTATTAAGCACTATATGAGGCACTGTATCAACGCATCATGAACAAAAGTGTATACATTGGTAATGAAGCCTGATGGCTGAGATCTACTGGACAACAATTGGGTTACAGCAATTGTGCACTGAAATGATAATTCCAAAGACGCTTTATGACTTCTTCTTCTAATCAAATACATTAAGTTAATTACCAATGGTCATTGACCTAGGGATCATGGCCATTCCTGGTGCAGTGGTAAAAATCTCATGCCGATAACTGTAAGGTTGAGGATTTAAATATGATGACAAGCAGCTATGCAAACAATACAAGAAATATGTCTCCACCGTCAGCAGCTCTCCCAGCATGTTTACTTAATGGAGACCAAACTGGGCACTGGCTTTTACCCGTTGTCATCTTCTCTTGCATATAAGAACTACCAAATGTCATCTACTTCCAACCACACACAAATTTTGAATGAAGGGATAGTTACAAGCTTTCCAGCAAAATGTTAACATGGAACAGAAAATTGTGTGTGGAGCTTCAAAACAAAAACGCTGAGATTCTGTGACTGAATAGTGAAGGAAGAATTGGATGACCAAGAGAAGGAAATAAGTTCATATAAGGGAGCACTGGACTCACTCCTCGAAATATCCCAAAATTTGAAACCATAATGTAATATAAATGGTTGCATATTCGATGACTGGTGAATAAGATGGATACAATCGTCATTAGTTTTCGATAGTTCATAATAAAATGAATGCCTCAGTTAGGTCCCTCCACGGTATCAAGAAGCATGCAGACAATATAACAACAAAAATCATAATGAAGATGTCCATCATGTTAAAATCCAAGTAGTTGGTTGGTGGTTACTCTCACTAAATTTATACCTGTCCTTGCACATACTTTGCAAGGGTGCAAAACAAGTTAGAAGTTTAGCGATAATAAGAATAATGTAAATGCATACAAAAATTTCAGATTACCTTGCAACTGCCACAACCACTCCAACAGCAACGAGTGAGCATCCAACTATTTGGTTCAGTGAGTACATTCTTCCCAGGAGAATGGTAGAAAAAGCCAACTGCCACACCAAGAATGTCTGCACGAAAAGGTGAACAGAGATCAATCTTAAGGAGATAACATTTTGTCAATAATGAACATGGCATTCATTTGATTTGTGTTCAAAGAACTTCATCAAGCACTCGATTAAGACTGAGACATAAGCATTTATATGTTTCCCACAAGATCTTTTAGTCAGAAAATAGGATTTTCCATTCTCCAGTATGTCATTCATTAATTGATATATTGAACAAGAATCACACTATAAATCAACCGGTGTCCGTTGCTAATCCACAATCAGAAAAATGGTGAATATCATTGTTATTTGTTGGGTTTAAGGAAGCATAATACCTTTAAGAATGATCCGAAACACATTCTGAGACATTACAAAACAAACACACAATGCATCAATGCAAAAATTTTGTCAATTCGGTTCTAAAAGGGGCACCTCGAAAGTGGCTATGTGTTGCACTGTCACAACATCACCTGGAAGTTGGGCGGTACTGCAGTGACATAGGAATTAGATAGGTCATCCTCTTAGTTATGATGAGAAGCAAGGTATATAATGTCAATGGGCCAATCATGATGAGAATGGCGATCAACAAGATTGGCAGCTGATCCATCAGGTTGAACAGTGGTTATTGCCAACTCTAGAAAAAAAGAGTTTGTACTATTTTTTCCCTTTTTGTTAGAAAAAAGTTTACATCTCGTTAAATGGAAAAAAACTGATAAAATATCTCTTAACCTCGGTTTGGGATGGCTGTGAAGTCCCAACACCAACCCAATAAATGTTGCTGTGACCTGGTCTGGATAGAGTTCCAGAAATACACAAGCATGTAAATGCATCACAATTTGTTGTGAATACTGGTTCCCTACCAGATGAGTAACTCATGTACCTTCTTGACGTCAAACTAGACCATCAACTTTCCATGGTACAAAATTCTAACTCAATTGTAACCGGTTACATGAAACCAACCAACATACTCTTTCTAGTATATGTGCTAATGTATTGGTCCAAACATAGGCAAATCTTTTATCACAACTTCCATCCATGTTCTTGGTGGCCTCCCTCTACCACTCAGATCCCCCTCCATTGAAAACATTGGCATAATTGCAGTTCTTAATTATCGTTTTGGAACTGACAGCTATCTACCTTTAAGATCAGTGTCAGCTTCATATAATTGTCAGAATCATACATTCAGTGTTTGACGAATAGCAAATCCCAAATGCTGTACTTTATGACAAACAATCATTCAGGTCCCTGAATCCCTTGTTTAATCCAGAAATCCAACTCTAGGCCTCAACCAAACTGCGGGCACATGTTTACTCAAATATAACCTATAGTTGCAGGAGTTATTGATTATTTATTTTGTTTTATTTTTCTGGAAAGAAGAATACCGTGAAAACACTCTCAGACATTTATTGAAAGACAACTCAAGAAGGTCATCAAGTCAACATAATTTGCATATCTGGTGCTTGAAAGCTGCATTTATAAACACTACACCCATGATACATGTCCAACTGAAGAACAAAAATGGACGCACTATCATAAGCAAACAAAATAGACATTCAAGAACAAACAAGGATTAAAGCGTTAAATATCTGAACAGGCAGTTGTAGGAAATAAGTCTTTTTTTTTTTCCTTTTTTATGGGCCATTCTAGCAACAATTCTTTTAGTCAGTGAACTTTTTTTTTTTTTTGGTAAATATTAGATAGCAAACTTATTCATATTACCTGATTCAATATGGGTATAGCTGGTCCAGGAAGCATAGCTGTAAAATATACATAAGATTCAGTACAAAGGTTATTGCTGGATACCCAAATCCCAAATTAATCTAGTCCCCCCCCCCTCTCTCTCTCTCTTTATTATTCACTTTCCCTCTTCTCAATATTTTGGACCTGCTTTTGCATTCTCTGCTTTTGTAGCCAACAGAAAACCAGTTGAGTGACAAGATGCTCTAGAAAACACCCATCATCACTGGATATGATTAACCGAAAAAGTATGAAATTTACTGCAGAATCCAAAATGGTTTATATCCTATAGCAGTCACATACAAACTCTGCTCAGCACCACTATGAAAACTCAAAGTCCAACAATTGGTTCTGAATTGCCAAAATCAAAGCATAAAATACCTCCAGATGACATCCCAGCAACAACTCCAAGGGCTTCTAGAATACCAATAAGCACAAAGCGTGATTTGGGAAGGGCCATCATCTCATTAGTTACAATCCCAGCACGATATCTTATGTATAGGGTGAAAAAATAGATAACCACATACCTGTGCTTCATAGAACCATATTGGTTCAAAAAAAATAGTGAGGAACAATTACTTGTAGTACTCAAATAAGTGAAAGCGAAAACAATTATATATCAATCATGAAGCAAAAAAGCAAACCCTGACCATCAATTTGCCAGATGAGTTACCTAGGAATTTAACTACAAATTCTTCATTAATTCCATTATCATAAAAAAATTGGTAGTAGCGAAGTATCTTTTGTAAAGTGAACTAACAAAGTGGCCTATTAGCATGGCTGCCTAGTTTAGATTTAGGACGTGATTAAACGCTGCCATTTGTGTTGTGAACCTATGCTTGACAGTGTAGCTGTCTTGACGGATCAAAAAATTTTGTTTCCATTCTCTGTAACAAGAGGGGTTGCACAAACTGAAAGTTATCAAGTTCTTACTTTCCTCTTAAAATAATCATATCAGTGGCAAATCAGGTTGACAGTAACCACGGTCCATGAATGGAAATCACCTATCAAAGTCTAAATTGATTGGAATTATTAAATAAACAAGTGTTCAATATGATGGACTAATCGAGACATTTCACAACTAGAAACCAATTTGAGGCCATTACATTAAACACACATAATTGAAATACCTTCGACATGGGTATAACAGAACTATAGTCACCAGGAGGCCAAATTCTATCCTAAGAAATAACGAGATCAACAAATCAAGAACTATCACTTCAATACCTTTTCTCTACATTTACCACAGTCCAATACTAAAAGACTACACAGTTGATGGTTAGTACCAACATTAGCAAAAATCACAACATTACATCGTTCCAGATACAGTTCTATTTATGCAGAAGTTAACAATTGGAGGGAAATTTTATATCAATTGGAGGGAAAGTTTACCCAAAAGTGGTGAACTGAGCTAAAAAGAACGGGTACTGCTTCAGGGGAACAAGGGCGAGTTTGTAAAGTACGCGATTCGCAATGGCAAGTAGTAAAGTAATTGCAGAGCTGGCGATGATAACCTTGGTATTCGATGAAACATGCGACTTATCGGTGGAAGAACGGACTATGAATTTAGGGTTTTTTGATGAGTAGTGGTGATAGTGAGTCTTTCTCTGAAAAAGTTTGAAGTATGATTTACTATTGAACGAATGTTTTGGAGGGAAATGTATAGAGGGTCTGTTAGGGTTTTGGAGCAAAGACATTGATATAGGAGAGTAAAAGTTCGGTGCATTGATGGTATGATAGGTGTGGAGGGTTGTGAATTTGAAGTGGGTGGAAGATGAACACCAAAATTCCATGAAAAAACTCTGATTCAGAAGAGGAAGGAGAGAGAAAAAGAAGAAGATAGGCAGAACTCAAAATTGCTTCTTAATTTGTTAGATTTTCAACCTAATGCAAGATATCTCTACAGTTTTTGAGCCTTCCGCGGGAGAGAAAGAGACGAAGATCTACATTGGAACAATTTAAAAAGTTAGAGGATCAAATCGAAATACAATGAAGTTAGAGGGCTTAAATTGAAATTGAGGGAAAAGTTTGAGGGGCAAAATATATCTAATGTTTCGTAACGCCCAAGCCACTACACCCCCTATAAATAGAGCTGCTCTCCTTCACTCGTACGCTCTGCAATTTCTTTTCCCTCACGCGTTATCTGTTTTCTCTCCTTTCGAGCTACTCATAGCAACCATGGGTCGCCGCCGAAGTTCCGGAGGTCCGTTCTCTCTCTCCACATTGAATTATATATTTCTCATATGCTCATTTCAGTGCCGGTTTCGGGGGCGGATCCAGTCAGTGCATTCAATTTTTTGCAAATAAATTTTTATACATGTTTTGATGTACTTTCAAATTTGCAGCCTCAAAAAAAAAATTCTCATGGATCTTAATTCATATAATCATCTCTTATATTTAGTTTAAATTTCTACTCTAACTTCGCAAACCAACTTTTATAATGTGTTTGTTGAACGAGACTTGTAATCAAAAAATCATTTATGAAATTTTTACCGAATAGAATTGTTACTAATCAATATTTAAGATTTTGTAGTTATTACTAGTTCAATCTTTTTTAAGGTGATATTGTTCTAAGCTTGCCCCTACTACTACGGTGGCATTATCACTTGAAATATTATAAATTTGTGCAATGATTCAATCATGTGGTTCTGTGTTCTTTTGGTACATTAGATTTGATATTTATGTGAATGTCAAGCGTGAATTGGATTTTTGTTCAAATTTGTCAGTTTTTTTAACGAGTTTGCACCGAATGTATTCACAGGGGGTATTTGGTTTCTGTTAGGAATAAAAAAAAGAAAAAAAAATTTGGACCCTAGCTCTCAATAATTTTGGCCAGAAATTAAAATATACCAGTTTAAATTATGGCCTTTTGGCTTGGCTTGACTTGGTTTGGTTTGTTGAATGTGTGTCCATGCTAGATTATGGGCTATTGGCTAAGGTTTGAAATGTGATATATGTTTGGATCAATTTTCTCTCCCTGAAAGTAGGGACCAGCCATAAACTAGATCCCATGAGCTTTATTCGTACTAGGGTCGTGCACAGACAGCATTCGTAGAAGAAAGGGAAAAAAAATGAAGATATTAGAATAAAATAAATATAGCTGGTTATAGAAGCTATGGGTGGTTAAGTGCAGTTGATAGGATAGTTAAGTACAATTATAAAAATAAAATATATCGTAGATAATCGTAGAGGTTAATATTATTAAACAACCATCTACTTCAAAAATTTAAGTTTAAACTCTTAGAGAGAAGTTTAAATTGTTGGAGAGGGTGTAAATTAAATATTTAATTATTTATACTTCAACTCTTCTCAGACCTATTATGTGAACTTTTTTTTAATAATTAATGTGGCGGTGAGATTTGAGAATATTAAGTTAAACAATTATCTATTTAAAAAACTTATATATTTATACTTCAACAAACACCAATACTCTCACCCTCTCTCTTTGTTAATAGGATAGATCATGTTAGTCTTATTTTAGCTTGAATGATAGTTGTTGAAATTGGACGGAATCTTCTTGATATACCTTGAACTGAATAGGAGTAATCAATGCGCATGGGGTTGCTATATATGGGCAAACGGTTTATGAGGAAAGAATTGCAGACAAGAAAGACGTGAGGGATGATATTTTGAGCTATGAAAGTGAAGATATCTAGTGATATTTTGAATTGTGATATTGAAGACATCTAGTGAAACTTGTAAACTCCATTACGTTACTTCTTTCTTCCTTGAGTTTAATGGAACTCCAAATAGATGTGTTTGTTTCTAAGACGGGAATCATTTTGTTTTCATCTCTTCATATCATTCTTTGGACACACGGTGTCAAGATGCAGAGCTTAATTAAAAACTGAAAGAGTGTTATTTTGCAGGAAGATCAATGAGGTCAGCTTCTCGTCCTGCTGCCCGTTCTCCACCACGTCAGCCTCCACAGCCAGGTGATGTTCTTCTTTTGTCTACAAATTTTTATGAGAAACAATGCATAAGGTTTGGGTTACTACTAGTCATTTTTGCTTTGATGGGGTCATGTTCTGGAATTTGGCTTGAAAGTTGAACAGTGGGTTCTAACTGTTATATAATGATCTCGTTTAGTTGTTCCTTTTAACAAAAAATCTGAATCTTGTCAGTTTAAGGGAAAGTTTATTAGACTAGTCCCACTAAGATGGCGGAAAATTTGACTATCGAAAGAGCTGCTTTTGCCTCGGTAATTACCTAAAGAGAGAGAGAGTCGATGCAAAAGTAGCCCTTTATGCAAGAGAATGCTAGATAGATTGGAAATGCTATTTGCTTCATAAGAATAAAATGACCTTCTATGAAATGAAAGAGTTTTACGGAAATTGTCTTAATCGTCGGATATCATTGAAAAAGAAATAGGAAGAAGTGTTATCGAACAATTTTCTTCAATTGGCTAATGGTGGCGAGTATATTTTGGCTAAATTTGTCCTCTGATTCACTTCATATGTACTATAATTAGAATGATTGAAGGATTGAGTATAGAATCCCTCATTTGGTTGTTCTTCAATTTTTTTTATGTTTGGTGGGGGGTTGTTTTGTTGAAGATTTTGTGTTAAATAATTGGTGGTTGCAGCTGCTCGTGCTCCTCCACCAGCGCCTGTACAAAGGGAATCTGCAAGTGGAGGGCTTGGTTCTGTAGTTGCTGAAGGTAAGTTATTGTATGGTTTGCCCATTTTGCGAAGCACATGATGTGCATGCAATGCAGCCCCTGGCTTGACGCCTATAAACGAAACAGTTTGTGTTGCTTATTAGTTGTTAATGTGCAGGCATTGCCATTGGTGGTGGGAATGGTATTGCCCACAGGGCTATGGATTTCGTGTTGGGTCCCACGGCCATAAAACATGAGACAGTGGCCTCCCCTGCCCCTACTGCTGAGGCAGCAACCATGAACAGTCTTGAAGGTTCTGATGCATGTGGTGGCCAATTCAAAGCCTTCCGAGATGTATGTTCCATTCTATCACAATTAAATTCATTTTTAGTGAGTCCTGGTGATTGTTTCTTATTACTTAGGTCTGTTCTTGGGTTGGTTCGGAAATAGTGTAGTTTTTAAAACACTATCATGGAGAAATACTGCATAACTGCGCATCGTATTGACAACAAATGAGATTAATGTCATAAACATAGAAAAGACGAATTAAAGGTTGTCGATATGAGCTTTAACTAACACAAACCAGATTAATTAAAGCTCATATCGATAACCCAAAAACATTAAGTCACACAGTCCATTATTGTGTCGCTCTTAAATATGTCCTCTTGTTTTGGTAATTTAATCTATTTTGTAGTTATTATTGTTGTTATAAACATTTTCTGTTTTATTAAGTCTTTAAGAAATAATCGACACTAAACCAACATTTTAATTTACTGTTACTGTGGGTCCTTCGCCACTAAACTTAATGATCATGTTGCTCTTTATCTTGTAGTGCCTGAATTACTATGGAAGTGATATCAGCAAGTGCCAGACCTACATGGATATGCTGAGTGAATGCCGCAAAAATACTGGCAGTGGCCTGAGTGCTTGATTCTGGTCATGAAAATGAAACTAATTTAGTAGCTACGTATATGTTTCTTGATGCTCATTACTTGAGCTGTGAAAGACTTTTAGTAGAATTTAGGATTGGACGGCACTGATAACGTTGCAGGATAACATGCTTTTGGAACTTATTAACACATATGGTTTCACCTTAATCTTTAGGGTTTGTGCTCCTATTTTCAGCTATCTCCATTTCATGCATTATTCGTGAGAGGTTCGAGATGCCGGGAAGGTTAGGTAAGTGGCCCATCGGGTTACAAGAATTTGATATAGTCAATTTATAGCTGTTTATTTAGCATCTGAAGTATGCCTGTTAATTCTGTATAATATTGATGAATATTGTGTGATTCCATCAATTTCATATAGCATTGATGGATGTTATTAAAATTGTCAATTATAAATTGGATACGGTCGTTAGGTTTGAAATTTGAACCGACCCATATTAAAATCGCTTGAGATAGGGCAAAAAAAAAATAAAAATTATCATGCTCCTTTTTTAGTAGTAATCTAACAAAATACCATCACATTGTTGACAGATTGAGCCTCTTCATGCCAATATCATCCTACAAAATAAGACAGACAAAGAGGAGAGAGAGAGGGGGGGGGGGTTCCAATACATTCCATGGGACATATTCGATTGATATACCCGACTTTTCCCGTTAAATTTGCTGCATGAAACTGCCATTAATCCAGAACACCATCAGGCCTGCAACAAGAATTACTGTCAATAGTCTTTGTGGGAGGAATATAAATGATTTGATTCCTTTTGTAGTTTGGACTAATAATTGAGCCAATCTATTCTGCCTCGATCTAGATAAGACTCAATTCGAGTTAAACTTTGAGCTTAAACAATTTTACAGACTTGACTCGAACTTGCAAAATTTGACTTGTTTATATTTAAAATAGTCAATCTACTCGCCTCACCTTGAGGTCTTCTCATTTTGAGCTTGGCTCATTTTTTTTTTCCGAGTAATGTTATTTGGACCTAAAAATATGACCTTATTTATTGATATAATTCATTATAACCTTTAAATTGACTATAATTCCTATGAAACATTAAAACTTGCTCTTCATCCAATGATTATAATAAAATTACATCATCAGGTTAGCAAATAAGATCAAATTTTTAAGTCTAAATAGAATTACTCTTTTTTAAAAGAACCGAATTTGAATAATTTTTTTAAATTGTTTTAAAAAATAAGCTCGATAGACTCGACTTGAACTCACAAAATTTAGCTTGATTATCGGCCCTGATATTCTCTCAGTGTTGTTCAATAGTGTGAATCATCCATGGAACCCTTTATTTCTTGAACTCTAATTTTTCTCAGTAACCAAACATTACACAGCTGCATTCTATCTTCTGGGCCTTCAGAGAAACAAAAAAATTTCTAAGGGAAGGATTTAGAAATAAACAAAACATAAGAATATATTGGGTAAATCATAGTTAACTAATAAGTAGAGATACTTGTTGCTGCACATAGTTTTAGTAGAATGTTTGGGCTTCCCTGAAAAAAATGCTGAATTTGCAATTTTGCACAATAACGTGAAACTAATCTGACAAGAAAGATAACATTTTCTCCCATATATTTTCTCTCTAATTTCTTTTATTGAATCATCTATCGTAAATTCATGTCAATCTACTATATATAAATAAGTTCAACACTCATTAATGATAAAAAAATCTTTTTGAGAAATGAAATGAAGGAAAAAAAAATATTTGAAAATATATTCGATATTCCATATCGCAAATCAATTTAGATAGTTGGATTGCCAAAAGAACACCTTCAATGTTTTTGTGCTTTTTAGAATAAAATTATTTACAATTTCTTGACTAAATTCATTATTAACGTTAAATTAACACTAAATTTTAATATTGTATAAAATTCGTGACTCGAAAAACATTGATGATTTGTTGCCTTTTAGCAACATCTATCATTGCGCTCTTGTTGAGAGTATGTCGTTGTCAACTACGTAGTCCATTTGAGATTAAAATTTTTTTATTAATTTTTCACATAATTTTATTCAATCATAAATTACTCCCTATATATTTATGTGACATTCATTATTTAAACTAACTGGGGTAGCTCAGTTGGCTAAATCCTCTGGCTTCGTAGTGGGAGGTCAGGGGTTCAAAGTCTCCTAGACTCAAAACGTGTCTCCTAGACTCAAAACGTGTTTGTTTGGTAGGGTAAGACCTCAGTTACTTAAATGAATCGTATCTAAGTCTCTGGTATTAGTCTTGAATTCCCAACGACGTATAAGTATTGATTGAAATAGTGTATGAGTTGTGGGACCAGTTCATACACATGGGCTCTATTTTTTGTTCTACTCAGAGTCACGAGCCTGAACAACATAAGAGCATTTCTACTTGATGAGGATAGATCGAGGGATCTCCCCGTATATCGAGAAATTCACTATTTAAATGTAGATTCTTTGTTTATACGTGGATTCCTTATCTATACACCGTAGCCCCTAGGTGATATACCATTATAAATAAAATTACGTGAAAATCTAATACTTACTTCCTCTGTTCTTAAATATCTATCGTTTAAGGTTTTTGTATAGAGATTAAAGAAGTTATTAAATAGTTTTAATATGAGTAAAAAATAATTGTACATGACTAAAATACTCTTATTCAATACATATTGGGAAAGAAAGAAATATGAAAGACACTTAACTTCCACCAAATCTAATGTATTGAAAAGTTAAGGGTAAATTTGAAAAAAAAAATATTAATTATATTTTGATTTCATTAAGCGATAAATATTATGAAATAAACAAAATTATATAAAACAACATATATTTACGAAGAGAAGAAGTATAAATTATCTAAATCCGTACGTTTGTATGCGTACATGCTGAAGAGTTAAGAGTGTAACAGCGACGTGACACTGTCAACGTGTCTGATCCATAGCAGCTCACAGCCTTTGCTGTGTGGTGTTTGATGATCTCATCCATCCTATGCACTACTCATCTGGACCGCTTATCTTTTTGACCTGTGACCACCGTCAAACATCTAAAATGATCCCACCGTGTACTGGGTTTTTAAACAGGGTTTTATTAGGGTATCGGAAAATATTTTTTTTTATCCTGTAGTTCTTTTTTTCAACCAATAAGAACGTGCCACATGATTTTATATTTGTTTATTATTTTTCAATATACATTATCCAATTCAAAATTAATGGTTTAGATTAATGAAAATAGTTGATAAGGAGAAAAATAAGTACGAGTTATAAATATAGGTGTCATGAGTTTGAATATTGAAAACTCATTAAGGTAGGTCATAAGGAATAAATATTCTATGAATACCATAATTTTGGTATAGATAATAAATATGTTTTTAAGCAAACCAAAAAATGAATTAGTTATAATACGCATAAGTTTTAACCTGAATATCTTGACTATTAAACCTCCCAAAAACACTAATATTATATGGAGAATTTGGATTGTTCTGAATTACTTTTTCTCAGTTTTATTATTAGTAGTTCATGATGAGAGGAATATTTACCCAACAACAAGACTTTTGAACTGATTATTCATTTAAAAAAAAAGTAGGAAAACTAGTTATTTATGTAATTATGTTAACAGAAGCAAGAAATTTCTAAACAAAAAAAAAAGGCAGATTATTTGAGGCTTCTGACTTGTGCATACATTTATGTTTATGTATAATCTATAAACAAATTGACAGACCAGATATGAGAGAAAATGTACTAATTTTCAGAGACCAGAACCTCAGCGCTGAAACGTTTATAGCTTCACTTTCTTTCTTTCTCTTCCTCTTGCTCTTTGTTTTCTTCATGGCTTTTGTGTTCCCAACTCTCTCTCTCTCTCTCTCTCTCTCTCTCTCTCACTCTGTGTGTGTGTGTGGAGAGAGAGAGAAACGAGGTGGATTGGCAAATTGTTTTCTTACTGCTAAAGTGGCAAATTAAGAGCTTTTCAACAAAAACAGAAAAAAAAAAAAAAGGGAAAGAAAGAGAGAAGTGAGGGGAAGAAAAGCAGGTTCATTATTTCTTTGATGTGCTTCTGGAATGTTCCACAGGGAAGCAAGAGAAAATCAGAAAAAGTAAAAGTTTTAAGGCATTAGTTATTGCCTTGTTTTTGGTTGCATATGTATGTACCCTATACAAAGTAATAATTTCCCGTGTTTCCATCTTTATTGGAATTAATTACAGAAATCTGTAGAAACACGAAATATACCTACTAAGTATTGATATGTTCAATCCTACAATTGCAGTTCCGTTCACTGAACTATCATTGCTTGTCATTACTAGAAACTCGTTATAATCATAACTGTCACTTTTCACCACGCTACCACAACCGACATTGTTGTCAATGCCATAACTACCTTCTGTATGTCGACTCTCATTGCCAACACCCTCAGCATATGCTTGCAGTGCAGTAGTTTACTAATGCCTTGCCATCTTTGTTTTGCAACGTTAGAAGTTGAAGCACGTAATGGATTTTCATGTTCAATGGAAGTACCTAAACTTATCCACCATTTCTTTAGAAGAAGTGGTTTAAAAATCTACTTCGGATTTATTTCTTATTTGAGTACTCTGTGTGTTTTGTCTATCAGGTGAAAGCAGATCATTTTTCGACAGCAGATGGGATAAGCTAACTTGAAGCCAAGCATTTGCTACTTCTAAATTATTGCCAGTCACTGGTCTATTATTTGCTCCGCAAGACAAAAGGGTTCTCAATTGAGGGACATTCTGTTGTTCAGAGCCTTGTAGAGATCAGATTGTTTTTGGAGAAAGTACGCATGTGCTTCACTTACTTGTTATCAGGGCTTGGGCCTGATTATGATATATATTCTATTCCTCATCATTCTATTCTTTGCAGATTCGGCCAATTGACAAGAAATTACAATACCAAATTCAGAAGCTCACAAGGGTTACAGGAAGTGCAGCAGATAAAGGAGGCTTGAGTGATAAAGAAGGTGATGCAACTCAAAAGATGAAGAGAACATTGCAAAACAACTTTAACCCTTTAGGGCCTAAAGGTGCTAAAGCCATATACAAATTGTGTTGCAGGTTTTGCATTTTTCTTGTTGCTACTTTGTATTATATAATACACCAGTAAAGTATTTTCTTCTTTGCTCAGTTCCCCATAGGAATTAGTGTCCGGATATATAGTGGATATATGGTTATATAGGTAGTAATACTTTTAAAAAAAAATTGTAGGGAAAATTTCAGTCACATCCCTGCTAGTTTACTATATCTTCAAGGATACCCCCTCTATTATCAAAAACATTACTGGCATCCCTTATAGTTTATATTTAAACATCACTAAAAACCCCTACCATTAAACTACCATTTCTAACAACAAAAAAAATTTAAGTAAATTCAATTGAAGCCGAATAAATTTTATTTTTTTTAACGCATCAAAATTTAAGCCTATTAAAATTTATTTTTTACGTATTAAAATTTGAGTCAATTTGAACTCTACCCGAGTTGTTAGCACCGATTACAATTCGATTTTGAGGTCGATTAAAATTTATGTTTTTTTGCTTATTAAAATTCATGTCAATTACAATTCGATTTATTAAAATTTATATTTTTTAATGTATTAAAATTTGGATTGATTAAAATTCAATACGAGTTGATTAAAATTTGAATTGAGTCAATTAAAAATAATTTTTAATCGGCTCAAATACAATTTCAATTAGCCCAAATTTTAATACCCAAAAAATGTAATTTTTAATTGGCTTAAATTTTAATATTTCAATATGTAAAAAAATAAATTTTAATTAGATTGAATTGAATTTTAATACTTAAAAAAAATTAAAAAACAGATGGGGTCTCATAGAAAATATGCTTAACTAGAGAGGGTCTCATTGAAGATATATTTACCTAGAGGGGATGTGAATGAAGTTTTNAAATGGGGTCTCATAGAAAATATACTTATCTAGAGAGGGTCTCATTGAAGATATATTTACCTAGAGGAGATGTGAATGGAGTTTTTCCTCAAATATATGAACAATTTAGTAAAATTACATTTTAGTTAATAATTTTAATCTGACAGGAGTGTCGCTATAGATTTAAAAAATAGAGGGGTGTTCTTGAAGATATGATAAACTAGAAAATGTGTGGTTGAAAATTTTCCAAAATTGTAGCATTCTTGGTGCAAATAAAGCACTTCTAATATTCTTGCATTTTGTTATGGCTTATCTACTTACTCTCCTTTATATTTTTCCTTTTCTACACTTTACTGCCTACGATTGTCCAAACTTATCGCATAATATTTAGAATAATGCTACATAGACTCAAAAATTAGACTTGATAATCTTAACCATTGAATAAGTAGTGAGTCTTAATAAATACTGGACCTACAGTGAAATCAATAGTTGAGATTATCAAATTTAGTTTTTAAATTCATGTAGCATTACTCTAATATTTATAGGGCATCAACTTTTGAGAGCTTGGTCATGATTGGTCACAAAAATTATAATTTTCAAAGGTTAAGTTATAATTTTTAAAAATTAAATTGTAATTTATAACTCATAAAAGAAAAGTTATAACTGATTAATTCTGTGATCAATCATAGACTTTTTTTGACTAGTGTAATTTTTACTAATTTTACCATAAAAAATTATAACTTTCGCTATAATATCAATTTTTTTTTCTGTTACTGTTGACTTTCCCAACATGTAGTTATGAATTGGATATTTTGATGGATTGGTACCCTCAGCAATTTTAGTTTAATATAATTGTATATTCACACCGTATTCTGTATAAAAAACTGCCTTCACCTAAATAAATATCTTTTTAGTAACACTTGAAAATCAACCTTTTAGTAGTGTGCCAAAGGCATGATCCAATCAGGTGATTATAACTCGAATGTAATGATATAACTTAAATTAATCGTAATTCTTCAAAATTTTAGTAACCTGATCTTATTAGATCATAACTTTTTGGTATGACATCGAAAAATTATTTTTCAATACTAAGAATTTTACCTTTTGTAGAGATAATGTTTCCTATTTTTTTTTTAACGCATAGAGAGAAATTTTATTGATTAAAAATTAAATTACACCTAGCTAGGAGGAGACCCCTCGATGCAATCTAATTACATTAAAAGGAATAAGTGCGAAAAATGGATGCATAATACAAAATGACGAAGAAATAACAAAAAATACTATGTATGCCACCTAAACGAGCTAAGAGTAGCAGCTGAGATGTAATAAATGAGCTCAGAGTGCAGCCACTGTCATGAATGAGCTACCAGCTGAGTGCAGAAGCTTAAATAATTAACCACGAGCAGCAGCTGGTGTGAGCCTGGAGACGAGTTGAGAGTTATCATATATNATGAATGAGCTACCAGCTGAGTGCAGAAGCTTAAATAATTAACCACGAGCAGCAGCTGGTGTGAGCCTGGAGACGAGTTGAGAGTTATCATATATGACAACTGACAATGAATATGGATAAGGGGCCCTACTGAAATATCTTGATCTTTGCAATCCAAACCATCTGACTAGCTTCAGGTTTTCTCCTACTGCCTTAGCACTCCTGGGTTTAGATACACCCAGCATTTCTTCTGCCTTAATGATCTAAGCTGTATCTGATCCTGTAAAATCAGAGTTCTTGCTTGGGCTGGGATGGAATTGGGTGAAGCAGTTCGAAACTCTGCTTTATCCACCACCCTTTTCCTAGCCAAATAGCCAGCTACCATATTCCCTTCTCTATAAGTGTGAACCAGTGTACAAGACAAAGCACTCAACCTCCTAGAGATTTGATTAGTCAGTTCCCTTAGCCTCCATGGAACTTTTATTTTCCCTGAAAGCATATCCAAGAGCACTTGAGAATCCGATTCAATGATAAATGAATAAACCGATAAGCCATAATCTTCCAATAGGATCAAACCATCTAACATAGCTCTACTCTCAGCTTCCATATTTGTACAATGCCCATAATAAAATGATCCTGCAGTCCTATGAGGATGCCCAATCAAGATGGAATTGTCCCATTTTTACTTCCATGACTTTTTAAGGGACAAATCCATTCCCAAACTTTGTAGATATAAATAAGTACAAGATTGTTAATTCTTCCCTATGCCCCATGACACTACAACCAATTTTGCAGCAAAGTTATGAGTAGACTCTGCAAGAATGCATCGATTATCGAAAAGTGTGGCAGCAAAAAATATATGGAAAATTGACCAAAGTAGTTGTTGTATCTCATACATTTGAGATGTTACACATTTCAAGAGTCCTTCAGAGGTCGCGGTAAGTTGTAAAAAATGAGACCCACCACGAGAATCATACTGCCAAAAAGGAAAAATGGGCTCAAGCTTGTTCCTTCAGGGAGATATGGCAATGGAAGGGAAAGAATATAAATTGCGAGTGGCACTGCAAAAAACGTAAAGACACCCATTAGTTAAAGGCTGTATACGATAATCCTTTAATTTGCAAAAAGTAAAAACATTCGTACACGTGTTTTGACAGTGTGTGTGTGTATACGGGCGCAAGAGAGAGATAGAGTGAGAGAGAACCTGATGCAGTCACAGCAAGGGAAGAAATAACTGCAGAGGATATCTTTAATAGATGGAGTTTCGATCTGTTGAAAGCAATGTTGGTAACCATGTAAAGTAGGGGTAAGAGTGGCGCTCCATTGCAATCTGAGGTAGCACATGAAGGTATAAAACCAGATAAAAAAATTATGAGAAGAGAATGCATAAGATCAGACAGGTTGAATAAAAAAATGCATGCTCAAGTTTTGGACATGAGATGATATAATTCCTCCGAATAAACAGAATTAGCCAAATAATGCCCAGAGCACATAACAATATGTTTGTAAGGGTATGTTACAGAAAATGCATCATAAGCATATCAGATATAGATTTCTGTTTATACATTAACTGATCCTTCAGGCAATGATGAAAACTATAAGAACTTTTTCACTTCAGATGCTCACACACTTGCACACTGACTGCATCCCCGAAGGCATATCATTGCAATTTTGGAGGTCCTTCTGGTTTGAAGGGATGGTTTAGAAACTTCCACGCCAGTAACAAATCCAATACCGTTTCTTTTTAGCATTTGTATGCACCTCAAATTTGGCTGCAGAAAGAGCTGAATGGAGAAGAATGCATACATGCAACCTCAAGTAATTGGGACTAAGGTTAGTAGAAATGGATTCAGAGTGACTTAATTCATCTAAGGGGGGCCAGCCTCTTGCCACCAGATTTCAAATTGGCAGACCCAGGTGAATCAACCGGTAATCAAAGTGTAGATTGATTTGGACTGTCCCGGATTATTGCATTCTGGTATTGACCGACTTATAACTGAAGTTGGAGTAAAATTAGAAGCACCTCAAGAGTCTGGTCACGGTATGGAATCCAGTTCAGAACTTTAGCAAAATTAAAGATCCTAACTCACGTGAGAACCAAAAAACACCTGTCTGTCTGTGTTCTTTTCTGGATTGCACATCTTATTTTTATTTACGCAAACCTTTTCTCCAATCAGAAAGAAGAAAATGATCCTTTCATTACAAATGCTGTTCTTTTTCAGACAATTACACAGGAACATTGCGAATACAAGTTTATATATATGAACTATTATGTTATTACAAAGATGCTCTGAACCCTGTTTATTTTCCTATTTGATGTTGTCTTGTTCAAGCTCTCACACCATATTTGGGCACTTGAGACTAAGCACCTAGATCTCAGTTGTTCAACATGAGGTAACATAAAAATTTCACTGTGTTAGACCAAAACATCAAAAACTCAGATCATGAGCAATTGTACAATTCAAAGAATCCCCACAAAGTTGCTGCAATTGTGATCCAGGAAGTGCCCTCAACAAGAAAAAGAGTATCCAAATGATGTAATTTACTTTCTAAAACGAGATTCTGATAAGTCTCACAAATACATCCGCATGATAGCACTGAAACCAAAAATGTCAAAAATTTATTGATAAGCAACCTACAGGGTCGACATTAAATCTACTTCTCCATAAAGTTGGAACCCAATGGCCTGCTTGGCAGACCACAAAACCTGGCCAGCAGAGGATAAGATTAGCTACTTTTTTAGCTGGCCAGTGCCTACTACAGTCAGATTTTTCTGAATTGGCCAAGTCTGCACTGAAATCAGACACAGAGACAGTCTGTTGGTGGACCATGTCAGTTGTTGAATTTCCTATTAACCACATTACGTAATTAGGTTAAACCTGAGCTGAATCACTGATAAGCATTTACAAACACACCCTGAAGTTGAAAATTGAGTTGAATGATCTACAAACTAGTAGAATGAATGAATAGAAAACTTTGAAACTTGTTCAGGTGTTTATGGGAAATAAAACTTTTGGGACTTAATGAGAAGAGAGAGGCTAAATGGCAAAGTTCTAAAAAATAATTTCAGTGCATTTGATATTTTCTCAAAAGTAGAACTAGGCTGCAAGCAAAAAAAAAAAAACATGCGTGTTAATAAAGTAAATATGAGATCTTTGTTTAGGTTTCCTTTCACCATCTTATTTGTACACATTATTTTGATTTGCAAGTCAGAGTATGCTTCTCAATTTACAGATTCAAAGCAAGGGAGAGCTTACCTGGTGTATTGATTCCAGTATTGAAAAAGCAACCAGCACCACTGATAAGGTACGAAGGGAGCTGGGAAAATGGTATACCTTTCATGTTTGACAGGAAAGGTAGAAATAGAAGTACAAAAAGAGCCTACAAGTAAAAGTAAACACAAGGAATCAGCAGTGAGAAATATAGACAAGTGTAAAATTACCTTAGTATACTTGTGAGTGACAAATACAAGAAACTGTCATCCTTTTGGAATAATACAATCCAATTCAATCCAGGCTCAACCATTTCATAAAAATAAAGACAGTTGATTAAAAGAAATTCAAAATGGTTTCCAAAACAGCTTCACTGCATAAAGCTTTTCCATGCTTGGGGCAGTATCAGAACTACCTGCTCCACAACCTGCATCCATACTCTAAACTTGTGTTGTGTGCCAATTTTGCAGGCAGCTTATTTGACCTTAACACCAAAGACTTGTGGTGCTAGGGCCCATCAACTATGATCATCTATGTAACAGTATATTCAGACTTCCCATCTTCCATATTGCTCTTATGGCCAAAAATCATGTATGTTTGTTTATCAAAAATCAACTTACTATGTACCATTTATGCTGTATATAGAATATGTGTTGAGTGTTGGTGTTTTATTTTTTTAAATTTTTTTTTGCACCTTAGTGTTGATGTTTCATATTACCAGTGTTCTACACTTTCAACGAATGGAGAAAACTACTGGTTTACACAATCACGTGAAGTATTTATGCAAGAGCATTGCTTTAGAAGATGTCCTTGAATGGAAGATGCACCGAATAAGAGGAAACCTCAGAAGGATGTGAACCCTTTATTTGAGAAGCATCCCAAGTAGTTTAGTATTGGAGGGACACAATTTTCTATATTGGCCACTGCTTCACATTAAAGGAAGAGGACAATTCTTGAGGAACAATTGAAGGTCCCAACGGCTTTGAACCACTTCACAGAAACTCTAGACATGAACCTAGTCGATATTGTGAACCACTAAGGCTAAAGGAAAAAAGCCGAGTCCAAGAAGCCTATTGTTGTGAAATAGAGGCCAAAGTATACCGCCTCTGTAATTGAGTGGGATAAGGCACACCTAATTGTCATTGCACACCCATATATAGATCTAGAGTTTGTTTTATGCCTTCCATGAGTAAAAATGCAATTGGTTGGTGTTTGACCACAGTTTAGAATGAGATTAAGCAAAGTATTATGAAAACTTCTCGAGGCAATAAAGGTGAATTCAACAAAAAAAAAAAAAAAACAGTGGACGGGGCTTTTGGCAATTTTGCTGATCTATTTGTATCATAGGGAACCTAATTTCGTGATACAATTTACATAGTCCAGCAGAAGAATTTGAATACAATGAATTCAAGCATTTGACTATTTAATAATTCAGCTGACACCATGCATCAGCTTAGGGAGAGAGTTTTTTTTGGCAGGAATAAACGTACATACATTTGTCTCTTTGTATTTTAAAGAACTGCTATTACGCCAAAGGAAAATTACCTGAATCCAGATCCAAAAGAATTGACAACAAATATGTCGAGCGATTTTCCCTGGATAGATTGTTGACCTCTGAATAAGTTGCCAACCAGGAAAATATTACTACAAATTCTTTGAGGGAAAACATTTGGACATACCTTCAGGCGGGTTGCAGCATCAATAAATACAGATTCCTATTCATATAGACAATGGTTCAAGATTAATTATTTTGCGCATGCAGGATCATAGTATGACCATATCTCGTAATGTTACCTTGAGAATAGATGCACCGGCTAGAAAAGCACCTGAAGCTATTGTCAAAATTGGCCACACAAATGCAATTCCAGATAGCATTTGACCAGTGTCTGATCCACTGCAGTCAAAAAATAAAAAGTTTAAGGGGCATACTATACGGCAAGGGGCTAGGATAGCAACATGTGGATATAGATATATGTAAGTTTAGAATAATCACAAAAAAAAGCTCTAGACTTTTCGAAAAAAATTCTGAGGTCATGTCGAACACACCTCACATACTACAAGATTCAATTGCGCTTCTCTGTAAGCAACAAAATTTCCTCTTTGGAATCAATAAGAACTTCCTACTATTAAGCACTATATGAGGCACTGTATCAGCGCATCAGGGACAATGTGTATACATTGGCAATGAAACCTGATGGCTGAGATCTACTGGACAACAATTGGGTGACAACAATTGTGCACTGAAATGACAATTCCAAAGACGCATTATGACATCTTTTTCTAATCAAATACATTAAGTTATTTACCAATGGTCATTGACTTAGGCACCATTGGCCATTTCCCGGTGCAGTGGTAAAAATCTCATGCCGATAACTGTAAGGTTGAGGATTTAAATATGATGACAGGCAGCTATGCAAATAATACAAGAAATATGTCCCCACCGTCAGCAGCTCTCCCAGCACCTTTACTTAATGGAGACCAAACTGCGGACTGGCTTTTACCCGTTGTCATCTTCTCTTGCATATAAGAACTACCAAATGTCATCTACTTCCAACCACACAAATATTTTGAATGAAGGGATAGTTAAAAGCTTTCCAGCTACATGTTAACATGGAACAGAAAATTGTGTGTGGAGCTTCAAACAAAAACGCTGAGATTCTGTGACTGAATAGTGAAGGAAGAATTGGATGACCAAGAGAAGGAAATGAGCCGATATAAGGGAGCACTGGGCCCAGTCCTCGAAATATCCCAAAATTTGAAACCATAATGTCATATAAATGGTTGCATATTCGATGAATGGTGAATAAGATGGATACAATCATCATTAGTTTTCGATAGTTCTTAGTAAAATGAATGCATCAGTTAGGTCCCTCCACAGTATCAAGAAGCATGCAGATAATATAACAACAATAATCATAATGAAGATGTCCATCATCTTAAAATCCAAGTAGTTGGCCGGTGGTTACTCTCACTAAATTTATGCCTGCCCTTGCACATACTTTGCAACGGTGCAAAACAACTTAGAAGTTTAGCAATAATAAGAATAATGTAAATGCATACAAAAATTTCAGATTACCTTGCAACTGCCACAACCACTCCAACAGCAACGAGTGAGCATCCAACTATTTGGTTTAGTGAGTACATTCTTCCTAGCAGAAGGGTAGAAAAAGCCAACTGCCACACCAAGAACGTCTGCACGAAAAGGTGAACAGAGACCAATCTTAAGGTGATAACACTTTGCCAATAGTGAACATGGCATTCATTTGATTTGTGTTCAAAGAACTTCATCAAGCACTCGATTAAGACTGAGATATAAGCATTTATATGCTTCCCACAAGATCTTTTAGTCAGCAAATAGGATTTTCCATTCTCCAGTATGTCATTCATTAATTGATATATTGAACAAGAATCACGCTGTAAATTTACCCGTGTCCTTTGCTAATCCACTATCAGAAAATTGGTGAATATCATTGTTATTTGTTGGGTTTAAGGAAGCATAAGACCTTTAAGAATGATCCGAAACACATTCTGAGACATTACAAAACAAACACGCAATCCATCAATGCAAAATTTTTGTCAATTCAGTTCTAAAAGGGAAACCTCGAAAGTAGCTATGCGTTGCACTGTCACAACATCACCCGGAAGTTGTGCGGTACTGCAGTTGACATAGGAATCAGATAGGCCATCCTCTTAGTTATGATGTGAAGCAAGGTATATAATATCAATGGGCCAATCATGATGAGAATGGTGATCAACAAGATTGGCAGCTGATCCATCCGGTTGAACAGTGTTCACTGCCAACTCTAGAAAAAAAGAGTTTGTACTATTTTTTTTCCCTTTTTGGTAGAAAAAAGTTTGCATCTCGTTAAATGGAAAAAAACTGCTAAAATATCTCTTAACCTCGGTTTGAGATGCCTGCGAAGTCCCAACACCAACCCAATAGAGGTTGCTGTGACCTGGTCTGGATAGAGTTCCAGAAATACACAAGCATGTCAATGCATCACAATTTGTTGTGAATACTGGTTCCCTACCAGATTAGTAACTCATGTACCTTCTTGAAGACAAACCAGACCATCAACATTCCATGGTACAAAATTCTAACTCAATTGTAACCGGTTACATGAAACCAACCCACATACCCTTTCTTGTATAGGTGCTAATGTATTGGTCCAAACATAGGCAAATCTTTTATAACAACTTCCATCCATGTTCTTGGTGGCCTCCCTCTACCACTTAGATTCCCTCAATTAAAAACATTGGCATAATCGCTGTTCTTAATTATCGTTTTGGAACTGACTGCTATCTACCTTGGAGATCAGTGTCAGCTTCACATAATTGTCAGAATCATACATTCAGTGTTTGACGAATGGGAAATCCCAAATGCTGTACTTCATGACAAACAATCATTCAGGTCCCTGAATCCCTTGTTTAATCCAGAAATCCAACTCTAGGCCTCAACCAAACTGCTGGCACATGTTCACTCAAGTATAACCTATAGTTGCAGGAATTATTGATTAGTTTTTTATTTTATTTTTCTGGAAAGAAGGATACCGTGAAAACACTCTCAGACATTTATTGAAAGACATCGCAAGAAGGTCATCAAGTCAACATAATTTGCATATCTGGTGCTTAAAAGCTGCATTTATAAACACTACACCCAAGATATATATCCAACTGAAGAACAAATATGGAAGCACTATCATAAGCAAACAAAATAGACATTCAAGAACATACAAGGATTAAAGCAATAAATATCTGAACAGACAGTTGTAGGAAATAAGTTTTTTTTTTCCTTTTTGATGAGCTATTCTAGCAACAATTCTTTTAGTCAGTGGAATTTTTTTTTTTTTGGGGGTAAATATTAGATAGCAAACTTATTCATATATTACCTGATTCAATATGGGTATAGCTGGTCCAGGAAGCATAGCTGTAAAATATACATAAGATTCAGTACAAACGTTATTGCTGGATACCCAAATCCCAAATTAATCTAGTCCCCCCCCCCCTCTCTCTCTCTCTCTATCATTCACTTTTCCTCTTCTCAATATTTTGGACCTGCTTTTGCATTCTCTGCTTTTGTATCCAACAGAAAAACAAGATGCTTTAGAAAACACCCATCATCACTGTACATGATTAACCGAAAAAGTATGAAATTTAATACAGAATCCAAAATGGTTTATATCCTATGGCAGTCAAATACAAACTCTGCTCAGCACCACTATGAAAACTCAATGTCCAACAATTGGTTTTGAATTGTCAAAATAAAAGCATAAAATACCTCCAGATGACATCCCAGCAACAACTCCAAGGGCTTCTAGAATACCAACAACCACAAAGCGTGATTTGGGAAGGGCCATCATCTCATTAGTTACAATCCCGGCACGATATCTTATGTACAGGGTGAAAAAATAGATAACCACATACCTGTGCTTCATAGAACCATATTGGTTGAAAAAATATAATGAGGAACAATTACTTGTAGTACTCAAATAAGTGAAAGCGAAAACAATTATATATCAATTATGAAGCAGAAAAGCAAACCCTGACCAACAATTTGCCAGATGAGTTACCTAGGAATTTAACTACAAATTCTTCATTAATTCCATTATCATCAAAAAATTGGTAGTAGCGTAGTATCTTTTGTAAAGTGAACTAACCAAGTGGCCCATTATCATGGCTTCCTAGTTTAGATTTCGGACGTGATTAAATGCTGCCATTTGTGTTGTGAACCTATGCTCGACAGTGTAGCTGTCTTGACGGATCAAAAAATTTTGTTTCCATTCTCTGTAACAAGATGGGTTGCACATACTGAAAGTTATCATGTTGTTGCTTTCCTCTCAAAATAATCATATCAGTGGCAAATCAGGTTGACAGTAACCACAGTCCATGAATGGAAATCACCTATCAAAGTCTAAATTGATTGGAATTATTACCTAAACAAGTGTTCAATATGATGGACTAATCGAGACATTTCACAACTAGAAACCAATTTGAGGCCATTACATTAAACACACATAATTGAAATACCTTCGACATGGGTATAACAGAACTATAGACACCAGGAGGCCAAATTCTATCCTAAGAAATAACGAGATCAACAAATCAAGAACTACCACTTCAATACCTTTTCTCTACATTTACCACAGTCCAATACTTAAAGACTACACAGTTGATGGTTAGTACCAACATTAGCAAAAATCACAACATTACATCGTTCCAGATACAGTTCTATTTACGCAGAAGTAAAAATTGGAGGGAAATTTTACCCAAAAGTGGTGAGCTGAGCTAAAAAGAACGGGTACTGCTTCAGGGGAACAAGGGCGAGTTTGTAAAGTACGCGATTCGCAATGGCAAGTAGTAAAGTAATTACAGAGCTGGCGATGATAACCTTGGTGTTCGATGAAACATGCGACTTATCGGTGGAAGCACGGACTATGAATTTAGGGCTTTTTGATGAGTAGTGGTGATAGTGAGTCTTTCTCTGAAGGAGTTTGAAGTATGATTTACTATTGAACGAATGCTTTGGAGGGAAATGTATAGAGGGTCTGTTAGGGTTTTGGAGCAAAGACATCGATATAGGAGAGTGAAAGTTCGGTGCATTGATGGTATGGTAGGTGCGGAGGGTTGTGAATTTGAAGTGGGTGGAAGATGAACACAGAAATTCCATTAAAATATCTCTGGTTCAGAAGAGGAAGGAGAGGGAGAAAGAAGAAGATTGGTAGACAGATAACTAAAAATTGTTTCTTAGTTTGTTAGATTTTCAACCTGATGCAAGATATCTCTACAGTTTTTGAGCCTTCCGCGGGAAAGAACGAGACGAAGATCTAATGTGTCGTAACGCCCAAGCCACTACAACCCCTATAAATTTAAAAAGTTAGAGGATCAAATCGAAATACAATGAAGTTAGAGGGCTTAAATTCAAATTGAGGAAAAAGTTTGAGGGGCAAAATATATCCAATGTTTCGTAACGCCCAAGCCACTACACCTCCTATAAATAGAGCTGCTCTCCATCATTCGTACGCTTTGCAATTTCTTTTCCTTCACGCTTTTTATGTTTTCTCTCCTTTCGAGCTACTCATAGCAACCATGGGTCGCCGCCGAAGTTCCGGAGGTCCGTTCTCTCTCTCTCTCTCTCTCTCTCTCTCTCTCTCTCACATTGAATTATATATTTCTCATATGCTCATTTCAGTGCCGGTTTCAGGGGCGGAGCCAGTCGGTGCATTCAATTTTTTGCAAATAAAGTTTTATACATGTTTTGATGTACTTTCAAATTTCTACTCTAATTTCTCAAATTAACTTTTATAATGGGTTTGTTGAATGGGACTTGTTATCGAAAAATTATTTTAAAATATTTTATTGAATAGAATTATTACTAATCAATATTTAAGATTTTGTAATTATTAGTAGTTCAATCTTTTTTATGGTGTTATTGTTCTAAGTTTGCCCCACTACGGCGGCATTATCACTTGAAATATTACAAATTTGAGCAATGGTTCAATCACGTGGTTCTGTGTGCTTTTGGTATATAAGATTTGATATTTACGTGAATGTCAATCGTAAAATTTGAGCAATGATTTTTGGATTTTTGATAATTGATTTCTGTTAGGAATAAAATAAAAAAAAAAAATTTGGACCCTAGCTCTCAATAAATTTGGCCGGAAATTAAAATATACCAGTTACATTCGTACCATGAACTAGATCCTATGTACTTTATTCGTACTAGGGTCGTGCACAGACAGCATTCGTAGAAGAAAGGGAAAAAAAAAATGAAGATATTAGAATAAAATAAATATGGGTGGTTAAGTGCAGTTGATAGGATAGTTAAGTACAATTATAAAAATAAAATATATTGTAGATATTCACATAAGTGAATATAATTAAATAATTATCTACTCTAAAAATTTAAGATTAAGTTCTTAAAAAAAAATTTAATCGTTGAAGAACGTGTAAATTAAGTATTTAATTATTTATACTTCGTCTATCAACTGATTTTTTTTTTTAATAATTAAGATAACGGTGAGATTCAAACATATTAATTAGGATAGGATAGATCATGTTAGTCTTATTTTAGCTTGAATGTAGTTGTTCATTGAGTTTAATGGAACTCCAAATAGATGTGTTAGTTTTTGGTTCACGTATTTTGGGGGATGCATGTATAAAATCATTAAATAGAAGTTGCTAGTAATATTTAAAAAAAAAAACCCACCCCTCTCCAAAAAAATAATTATCTTGTGTTAGGTGTAGAGATGCAGTAAATAGTGGCTGGTTTATCAACTGTAATTGGCTGATGTATTTACGTATAAGGCGGGAATCATTTTGTTTTCATCTCTTCATATCATTCTTTGGACACAAGGTGTCAAGATGCAGAGCTTAATTAAAAACTGAAAGAGTGTTATTTTGCAGGAAGATCAATGAGGTCAGCTTCTCGTCCTGCTGCCCGTTCTCCACCACGTCAGCCTCCACAGCCAGGTGATGTTCTTCTTTTCTCTACAAATTTTTATGAGAAACTATGCATAAGGTTTGGGTTACTACTAGTCATTTATGCTTTGATGGGGTCATGTTCTGGAATTTGGCTTGAAAGTTGAACAGTGGGTTCTAACTGATATATAATTATCTCGTTTAGTTGTTCCTTTAATAAAAAACCTGAATCTTGTCAGTTTAAGCGAAAATTTATTAGGTTAGTACCACTAAGATGCCAGAAAAATTGACTACCGAGGAAGCTGCTTTCGCCTCGATAATTACCTAAAGAGAGAGAGCCGATGCAAAAGTAGCCCTTTATGCAAGGGAATGTTATATAGATTGGAAATATTATTTGCTTCATAAGAATAAAATGATCTTCTATGAAATGAAAGAGTTTCACGGAAATTGTCTTAATCGTCGGATATCATTGAAAAAGAAATAGGAAGAAGTATTATCAAACAATTTCCTGCAATTCGCTAATGGTGGGTAGTATATTTTGGCTAAATTTGTCCTCTGATTCACTTCATATGTACTATAATTAGAATGATTGAAGGATTGAGTATAGAATCCCTCATTTGGTTGTTCTTCAATTTTTTTTATGTTTGGTGGGGGGTTGTTTTGTTGAAGATTTTGTGTTAAATAATTGGTGGTTGCAGCTGCTCGTGCTCCTCCACCAGTGCCTGTACAAGGGGAATCTGCAAGTGGAGGGCTTGGTTCTGTAGTTGCTGAAGGTAAGTTATTGTATGGTTTGCCCATTTTGTGAAGCACATGATGTGCATGCAATGCAGCCCCTGGCTTGAAGCCTATAAACGAAACAGTTTGTGTTGCTTATTAGTTGTTAATGTGCAGGCATTGCCATTGGTGGTGGGAATGGTATTGCCCACAGGGCTATGGATTTCGTGTTGGGTCCCACGGCCATAAAACATGAGACAGTGGCCTCCCCTGCCCCTACTGCTGAGGCAGCAACCATGAACAGTCTTGAAGGTTCTGATGCATGTGGTGGCCAATTCAAAGCCTTCCGAGATGTATGTTCCATTCTATCACAATTAAATTCATTTTTAGTGAGTCCTGGTGATTGTTTCTTATTACTTAGGTCTGTTCTTGGGTTGGTTCGGAAATAGTGTAGTTTTTAAAACACTATCATGGAGAAATACTGCATAACTGCGCATCGTATTGACAACAAATGAGATTAATGTCATAAACATAGAAAAGACGAATTAAAGGTTGTCGATATGAGCTTTAACTAACACAAACCAGATTAATTAAAGCTCATATCGATAACCCAAAAACATTAAGTCACACAGTCTATTATTGTGTCGCTCTTAAATATGTCCTCTTGTTTTGGTAATTTAATCTATTTTGTAGTTATTATTGTTGTTATAAACATTTTCTGTTTTATTAAGTCTTTAAGAAATAATCGACACTAAACCAACATTTTAATTTACTGTTACTGTGGGTCCTTCGCCACTAAACTTAATGATCATGTTGCTCTTTATCTTGTAGTGCCTGAATTACTATGGAAGTGATATCAGCAAGTGCCAGACCTACATGGATATGCTGAGTGAATGCCGCAAAAATACTGGCAGTGGCCTGAGTGCTTGATTCTGGTCATGAAAATGAAACTAATTTAGTAGCGACGTATAGGTTTCTTGATGCTCATTACTTGAGCTGTGAAAGACTTTTAGTAGACTTTAGGATTGGACGGCACTGATAACGTTGCGGGATAACATACTTTTGAAACTTATTAACAAAGTATGGTTTCACCTTAATCTTTAGGGTTTTTGCTCATATTTTCAGCTGTCTCCATTTCATCCATTATTCGTGAGAGGTTCGAGATGCCGGGAAGGTTAGGTAAGTGGGCCATCGGGTTACAAGAATTTGATATAGTCAATTTATG